TGTAGACGTGGCGCTTAGGGACATGGTTTAGTGGTGGACGTGGCAGTGCTAGGTTAATGGTTGGACTTGATGATCTCAAAGGTCTTTTCCAACCTAAACAATTCTATGATTCTACCTAATTTCAATGCTCACTGTGTGCGCAGTAACTGATTAGTATGCGTTAGCTAAACCCTGAAGTTCTTCCCTGATGTAAACTCTTACTGGAGGTAACTGAAGCCAATATGGATCATACTTCCACAAAATCTGAACGAAAACCACATGGTTTTACTTTCATGCTACTGTATGCTAACCTTCTAACAACCTCTATCACTATTGCTATAAAGAATAGCTTCCTATAAATACAGTCCTTGTATTCTACTTACCTGTATTTTTTAGCAAGGGTATCCCTTTCTGTTTTCTGTTTTGCAAGCATTTCATTCAAAGAATCTTGTATCTGAGACAGCCTTTGGATATACACATCTGTACAATATTTTGATATAATCAAAACGATGATGGCAATAAGCAGTAGAAAATAATTGTAGAAATAACATTTTTAATGTAGCAAATACACAAAATATGAAAATATTATTACAGCAGTAATATTACAGTACCTTTACTGTCATGCATACTAATAGCTCTTTACAAGTAGAGTACTTTTAATGAAAGAAGAATTAAATACAGGTTTAACTAAAAAGGAAATAGCCCAAGTACTGGAAAATTTTGAAGTGCAAGTGCCTTGTCTAAGAAATTGCTGAAAGAACAGGACAGATTAAAAAACTGTCCTATGGATGATAAGCACTGAAACTTTTGAAGTTCTTTGTGTTGCAGGGAGCTACATAACATGACAATTATATGTGAGGCTACCTGCAGAAGTTACACAGTCTTAAGAAGCTGGCTAAAACCTTTATGTTTGAAGTATTATAAAATAGTTCAATAAGCTTAGACTGTTCCAAGTTACATATAATGGTAAAAACATATGTATCGTAGTTTTACATAGTTTCAAATCCATATTATAAAATAAAATTATTGCCCCTTTTTGTTAGCTGTATTTTTCTAAAATAAGAAGAGCAATTATAAATTCTTCTTTATATGCCCTATCTCTTAGCCATATAACATAAGGGACAGCTCAGAAGTCATGACCAGCGGATACCACTGGGATAATATGCTAAACATGTATTCTAATTCCTGAAATTCTAAAACAGGAAATACGAGCTTTCCACAATCATGAAAAATGGAAAATCACAGGATTAAAAATGGCATTTATAAAATGTTTCCCCAAATCTGTTTCATAATATCTACCACTATGTACTTACTTATTAAAATAGAAAAATATGAAAATATTGCTCTTAATAAGGCAGCTTAATAGGGAATTTGAATCTATTATTTACAGTAGGTTGCATTGCATGCAAAGACCTTGAGGATTTTATTATACGTTATAAGTTTGTCAATGTAATTCTATGTTCTTGTTCAGTCTTGTGCCTCTTCACAAGTAATAACTATGATTTCGTTTAAGAGATGCTAGATTATTAATGCTTTTGTCAGTAGTGGTAACAGATCATCATGTTAATTTCTCTGATACCCCTAAACAGGAAAAGTTTGATGGTTTATTTTGCTCATTTATGAAATTGCACCCATCTCTGTCTATAGGCTTCTGCCTATTGTATCATTTACTTGTTTGTCAAACATTTTTCAAGAAAACGTATCAATTTTAATTAACAGTTCATACGCCATAAATTTGAGTTGGAAGCTATAAATCTGTATAACTGTATTTCACAATTATTTTTAAAGGGATAAATTGACTATTTTAAATATAATTTGAAAGCTCCACCCTATACTCAGGAAAATAAATCTTAAAAAATCCCTTCTTTTCTGTCAGGAAGCAAAACTGTTTCATGGGCATAAGCAGCTCCAAAGTGAACAGCCCTGCCTAGATGGCAAGGGCAGCTGGGGAGAGAGACTTTGGTCAAAGGCGTTCCTACAGCAAGCTTTGCCACTTGAACAGTCATGGCACAGACACAATAGGCTCAAACTGCTACACAGCACCAGCATTGTGATCTCCTAGGAAGTCAGTGTCACTTAGTAGGGTCTTGAGATTAATCTGAACTGAGATTTGATAGCCTAAGACAAACTACACCTCCGGGCACCAGCATGTCTGAAACTGCTCATCATCCACAGTGTCTGCCTCAAAGATTTCTCTTTTTTTCCTCATAAATTATTTTAGGCTCCTGAAAGTCCAGCCGCACTATAATGAAAATGCTGCCATCTGTTACTTTACATACAGACATAGCTGTTCTTGATCATGGAGGAGCTCATGTACTTGTAACTGAATAATGTTGCCAACAGCGTGCATTCTTATCTAATGATACCTTTTTATAAGATTAGGTTGACTTGAAACACATGCCTCCAAGTGGCATGCTTCCCTTTTTTGTCATCATATTAATTCCTATGTAAGCTGGAAGTACTTCAGAAAGTGCATTTACCTAGGAGCTGTTATTAAAATCTTATTCTCTGAAGTTGTATTTTCCAGAGGAGATATTCAAATATATTATGTGCAATACTATTTTAAAAGCAATTATATTACCAAAGATATTTATCCCCCCAAAAAAAGTGAAACAACTTGAATTTATGTTTACCTGCATCTTTGGAAGTTCTCAGTTCAAATAGCAACAGTTCTTTTTGCTTCTCTTCTGTATCTTGTATGGCAGCGACAGACTCCTGTTAACAAACACAGAAATGATAGTAAGAAGCAGAGCCGAATGCACCATATAAAACACAGGCCATGATGCATGGCCTGCAGTGTAAGTATTGGTGGACTCAAGTCACTCCAGGCAGGGAATTACTGTGTAAAGGCAATGGGGGCACTGGTAGGATAGACGTACATAGTGCCAAGGGTATGCTCTGCAAGGGGCTATCACAGCCTGGTTTTGTCCAGGCATTCAAACTAGTCCATGCTCAGAGTTCCACCTCTGAGTGCACTGCAGGGATTAGACAGTGAATTTCACCATGACAGCATCACCTAGACAATGTAGACATAGCCTACAGATACCAGCAAGAGCTCTTCTGACATACAACTTGTACAAAAATCTTCCTGGTTGTTTTAAATTAAGATTAAACAATTTCTAAATACGACAATTTCTAAATACCTTCGTTATCATGAATAAAAATCATTACTCTTTCAAAGAGCCATTTTGGAAATGTGATGAAAAGCCTCAGGATTCCTGACCTTTTTTCTATTCATATAGGCAATAAGAAATGTATATAAGTATTGACTACTGTTTGCAAATAAATGTAAGTTCACAGGAATCATGAACAGAGAGAAGTGATAACATACACACTTATATGCTGTAAACCACAGCTTATATACCGTAAGCCTCTGCATGATACTGGTCTTTCACATACATTCAAAAGGGTTAATTATTTAAATGATATTTTTTTCAGTCAGTAAATGACACTATGCAGTACTACACCATGAAGCAGTTTAACAAAACTCTATAATCTACACTTACCACACTGTATTTCTCATGTTGTGGCTCCAAAGCTGTATCATCATTTTTACAGTAGTCGTAACAATGACATTTTGATCTTCTTGACCTAGAAGGATATTTCCTCTCTCCGCAATTAAGAAAAAATAAATAGAATTTAAAATGAATTTGCAGGAGCATAATAGGCTAGATCAGCTAATATAGGTTACAAAGATGCAATGGCAGATCAAATCGTAAAAAAATATCTTGTACATGCAAATGAGATCAAATTTAGGTAGCATAAGGAAATAAGTCTTTAAAGCTACCACTTTCAAAAACACAAGGTTCCTGTGAAGGGAAATATGGATAATAACAAAAATCTGAAGAGCCAAGTATGTCCTTATATCTCATTCTCTCAAGAAAAAAAAACAACTCACGTATCCTATTTTCTGAAAATAAATAAATAAATAATAATAAAAAAATCAGTAGTTAATAGAGTTAAAAACATCAGTGCTGGGCAACATGCAGCTCCGCAAATCAGCAGCATTCTAATGTACAGTTTTTCCTTAAGACTACAAGGTAATCCTATGATTTACATTACAAAACCAACATACCTGTAACTTCAATAATTTCAACAGGAAGTACAGAGTCCACAGCACTGTAAGACTTCAGCAGTTCTTTCATTTTATCATCACAAGCTTCATCCAAAGCACTTTTCCCTGAACCATCCCTCTCACAGGGATTCGCTCCATGCTGTAGTAGAATCCTGACTGCCTATTATATATTATTATTATTATTTGTATTGTGATAATTCTTGCTGTGGATTTATAATACAACTATATGTGTTGTATCTATCATAAATCACACATAATAAAGGTACAAATAGGACACTCTAAAACCTGTTACACGTGCAATCCCAATTAAACAAACAACTTTACTTGGCTATAATCAACACAGACTTGTATCATACACTTCTAATTTTTCCATTAAAATACACAAATAATTCACAACTTGTCATTAAACCTACTATCTTTACGGTATCGTTATACAGAGCAATTATAAAACTCCCTATCTCTAAATTAAAGGAACTGTATTATATTAAGACCGAAGTGCAGAAAAGAAGTGGATTTTTTTTCTTTAAGTATTTAATAGTGGTTTTGGTTTTTGGTTACATGCACTGATGATTCTTTTCCTAATTCCAAATCACTTGCAAGTCTGCTTAATTGTAAAATGTGGAAATGAGATTAGTGGCGTCAGTGGACTCATCTACCCCCTAAAATTCAGATCACACGGAAGTGTTGACGAGGTCAGAGCTTGGATGGTAAAGAATTTTCATACATATGACTTCTCATCTTCAGCATTTCTTCTTTCTTACATTCAGAGTGCTGTTAAGTATCAGAAAGTATCAGAAAAAGAATACTCTTTAGAAGTTCAGAATCTTCTCCATCAGTTTTCCCCCACAATACTGAATAATAGCTTACACGTTTTCAAGAACCCGACTGATAGTTTGGCACCAGGCCTGTGAAATCATCCCCTTCATTTTATCTTTGCTCACAGAAAAGAGAAATGTGATGAGGTATCAGCTCTTCTGACAGGAAGAGAAGTGGTATGCTTCAGCCAATCTGGCATCACCTTTTTATGCTCAGTTCTCTGGAACTCACTGTGCCAAAACAACATTTTATTTATTTGTGTGCAGTTCTGGGTCCCACCATTTAAGAAGGATGTTGAGGTCCTTGAATGCGTCCAGACGAGGGCAACAAAGCTGGTGAAAGGGCTGGAAGGCATGTCCTATGAGGAGCGGCTGAGGACTTTGGTTTTGTCTAGTTTGGAGAAAAGGAGGCTGAGGGGCGACCTCATTGCTCTCTACAGCTTCCTGAGGAGGGGAAATGGAGAGGGAGGTGCTGAGCTCTTCTCCCTGGGATCCAGTGACAGGATGTGTGGGAATGGTTCAAAGCTGCGCCAGGGGAGGTTCGGGCTGGACATTAGGAAGCATTTCTTTACTGAGAGGGTGTTCAAACACTGGAACAGGCTTCCTAGAGAGGTGGTCGATGCCCCAAGCCTGTCAGTGTTTAAGAGGCATTTGGACAATGCCCTTAACACCATGCTTTTAACTTTTGCCCAGCCCTGAAGTGGTCAGGCATGGACTAGATGATCGTTGTAGGTTCCTTCCAACTGAAATAGTCTATTCTATTCTATAGAACCATAGAATGGTTTGGGCTAGAAAGGACCAGTTAATGAAAAAAATGGTTGATTTTTAAACAGCATTTTTTTCTTTACAAAAAAGAAATTTTTTACAATGAGGGTGGTGAGACACTGCAACAGGTTGCCCAGAGAACTTGTGGATGTCCCATTACTGGAAGTGTTCAAAGTCAGGTTGGATGGGGCTTTGGGCTAGCTGATCTAGTGAAAGATGTCCTGCCCATGGCAGGGGGATTTGACTAGGTGATCAAACTGAGAAAGCTCAATTTCAGTACTATTTTTAAAAAGACCAATACATGGGAGAGAACCATGGGGAGGTTCTGAATTTTTCTGATTTGTCCACTGGACTGAAAAAGTCAACTAACTGTACAATTTCAACTGTCACTATTGAAAAATATTTCTTTCTCTAATTTTGGTCACTTTAAAGAATATTTGTTTATTTCCTAAATGCAAATCTACACTAAAATTGTATTAGTAACTGACTTTCCTTATTTAAACCAGGATTTTGCCTTGCTGACCCTCTGCTGGAAATTAGACTCAGGAAATCTAATGTAAAAGAAAAACATACCTCCAAATAATTGCCAGAAACAGCATCATGTATTGGCAAAATACCATCCAGACTTCTGCTGTTAACATTAGCACCAGCTTTCAGTAATTCTAAGATCACTTCAGTAAATCCCCCATTGGAAGCTTCATGAATTGCTGTCCAGCCTAATAAAAGCAAGATGACACATAGAGCATGCATCTGATTTGGAAAGATCCACACAGATCACCAACCAGTGATTATACATTTTGCTGCATTTGCTGTACTATATGCAACGGACTACTCTCTTTAAGATAAATCTTATACAAACAATCACCTTGAAATGTATAATAAATGTGTAATTCAGTTTACTTTAAAGAAAAATGTATCCAATATTAAGCAGAAAAATATTGTTTACTTTTCTACTACACTACTAAAAATAATAAAAGAAACAAAACAATAGAGTAGAAAGACTCTAAAAACTCAGAAGCATAATATTAATAGTCTGATTTCTAATCCCAGTGGCATTTTATAATATCAAGTCTGCCAGGCATCCAGAATACCATCCATTCTGAGATTATAAAAACAGAAATGTGCTATACATTTAGATAGAAAAAAGAAAAAAAAATCGTTATCTGATTTTTGTCCTCATTTCCTAAGGAAATAAGGTTTGTGTGAATGTGCTTCACACGTTTATATATTCATGAGTATAAGCATTAGTTCTCCCGCCAAACTTTCAAGTCCACTTTCCATACATATCTCTGAAAATGTGCTCTTCAGCAGAGGAGCAAGACCTGATTAATACACCTACTGAGAAAAAGGCTGCATTAGCTCCATGCTGAGACACAAAATCCAGGGATTCACTGATTGTGCTTGCACTTGTTGAATGACTTCCTTTCCTCTTCACAATTATATCATAAATCAAGAATCCGTAATTATATTAAAATTACACAAATTATATAAAACTGTATCTACTATAAATTATATAAAATAGTATCATAATACAAGCCCATAAGAGAGTAATTTTCAAACCTGCATAGTCCTGTTCATTGACACAAATTCCAGATGATATTAGAGCTTTCACCAAAGACAAATCTCCTCTCCTAGCAGCAATATGCAGCTGAGTTTCCCCTTTCGCATTTCTCTTCTTTTTCGTCTTTCTCCCGGCTCCTGTATTACAGGTACCATGTAAAATTACAGCTTCTTTTCTGGTAGATAGGGATGATTCTAAACACATATTGGATGTTCATTAGGAACCATGAAAAATGTTTATAAACAAAGAATTAAGCTTCATAACTCATTTGAATTAATGTAAATGTGTGCAATACTGTTGCCTTAATTATTCAATAACATTAATTGACTACATCAAAGGGTTAGAAGGTACTGCGTAACAGCTCAGGTAACAAACAGACCCTATGCAAAAGCATTTACAGTTCAAATCTAGATGACTTAACATGGGTACAATGTATTAGGGATCAACGGAAAAGGTAACAAGGTTGAAGTTTTATACTGTATATCGGTAGGGAGTACGTTACGTTTCTCCACGGATGCTTTCAAGTTACCAGGCATGCCTGCTAAATATATAAAGTACACACATAAAGATATTTAAGAAACTATATAAAAATGAAGACTTGACCATCACCTCTTTTCCGTTCCTAATTCTGTATCAGGGAAGAGGTAGGTTTCTACATAAGGTATTTTTACAGCTGTGATGTGAAAAAGTCCTGTAGGCTGATTACAAATCTTTGATTAATGTCTAGTGACACAGCTGAACTGCCTTTTAATTAAACCTGCGCAGGACTGGACCCATAATTGTAAATAAACTTGATTTAATCCTTCTCTTATTGGTTCACAAAGTAAACAACATCCACTTTAAATTTTATCATAGAATCAGAGAGATCCTAATTCTGAGGCTCCAGGTAACAGACATATCAAATTGTAAGAGATACAAAGAAAAAAACAGATTAAAAAAGTACTGACTCTGCGTATAGAGTAAGGACAAGCCCCTCCCTCAAACTGCTACCAAAAAGACAGGGTGTATAAATCTTCAAAAGCTCTACCAATAGCTTTTTTTAACTCCTGTTCCTGCTGTTATAATACCATGCTATCAGATTTTTTAAAAAGTTCACCATGTTCTTTCTCTGATTTCTTGAAAATCTGTCATTTGTCCAAAAAAGGAAAGTACAAGCACTTTTAAAATAAGCATTTTGCAACTCTTATCCATGGTTTTTTAATTATTCCTATGAACAATTAGTTGCTGCATCCCGAGCATTTCCTCTTCTCATCAGACAAGCTGTCTTGCCAAATATTTTCAGTTATCAGTATCCATTGCTATCAAACATCTTCCATGATTTGACAGCTGCCTTTCTTCAGGCTCCTCCTGCCTTCTGGAAAATCTGCTTTTCCAAGGTTTCCTTTAAGGTAAACTACTGAGCTTGTCATCCAAGAATGTTTGGAAGAACAAGAAGACATACTGCAACTATATTAAAGACAAACATATAGTAAGAATATATCCATACTAATTTTAAACTAGCTTGTTCAGGCATCGCTGCAACCAGACTATGGCAGCATGGAGCTCACTGTAGATTATTCTAACCTGTCAGAAAGCATTCAGGCTGCCCTCTTTGCATTGGGGGTGCTTGGCCCACACGGTATTGGCAACCAGAAGAGCTAAAGAGTTTCTTTTTTAAATGAAAACTGAGATTCTAGAGCACACAGAGGGGTCATGTTATTGAAATACTCCTCCAAGCTGAGACCTGCTTTTCTGTAAGATAATGTATTGTGTTTTGTCTAAAAGCTTCTGGGTCTGAACTCCCAAAGCAATCATCTGCTTTCTGGTTCTTCCTTTTCTTCCCCTCTGACTCATGGGAGAATGTCCTAGGGACTCTTTAGAGACGTAGGAGGAAAAAAAGGCGCACAACAGCCCATTAAGCTAATGACCCTTAGCAATATCGGCTGCAAGTGAACAGAAGTAATTGCAAAGTTTTCCAGTTAAGTTGTCATGCACAACAGTTTTCGTCATGGTTGTTAGGAATCATTTGCAAAAGCGTAATGGGACATCGGTATGTGAATCACAAAATACTGGTTCTCCGTGGAACGCATTGCCAGGTGGGTCATGAGCAGGAAAGATCCAGAACTCGGCAAATACAAAATCCAGTCAGCACACGTACAAAGATAAAATGGCGAGACTACAGTAACCAGCAATCAGACTAGATTAGGCTGCCATACCTCAACAACTTCAAGGATATCCTCCTTCAAAAAGACATTTGAATACTTCAGCATTGGTCTACGAGTAATTCATTCCACAGATTGAACTATAAGAAAAGAAGCAAGCTGTTTGTACCTTCCTTCTGTATAAGCAGAATAGGAATGTTGAGACCCTAGTAAGTGCCTGACTGTAGATGAAAGTGATATTGCGTCATTTAGGAAGAAAAGATTTTTATTCAAGAACAGAATAATATAAGGAAGACCACTGGGACAAAGGAACAATTAGATGAGATACAAAAGCCAGTTAATGAAGAAAAGGCATGAGACAGCAAAAAATCTGAAAACCCCACAAGTCAGAAAACATTATCCTATCCTCCACTTTTTCCTTCTGCAATCTGAATGCCATTGTCCTGGTCTCCAAAGCTATTAATGCCTTCAACTGTATGAAGGGCTATACTTTCTTGCATCACCTCTCAAACAGCAACATTCTCCTGGGATGAAGGAAATAATTAAATTTTAGCTGAATAAAGTATTACCTGAAGAATCTCTTTTGGGGGAAAAAGTAATCTGTGAAATGCTATTCCAGAGGAGACCAAAATGTAAGACGTGTTTGGAATAAAGTTTTTTTTAAACCATAATTGTAATAGGAAGCAAAAAAATATAACGGAAAAAAATCCAAAAATGTATTAATGCACATAAACCTTATTATAAGGATTGGGCAGGAATATAGGAGCTACAAAAAGGAACAACTGTAGGGAAAGGAATCATTTCTATGTTCAATGTTTATTCTTCCAATAATTAGCAGTGGATGATGACATGTATCAGACATGCCATGGATTTTTTTCCAGAATGAAGTGAAAAGGCATTCCTACAACAGGAGGAACCAATTTGGACACAGGAAAGCTAAGTACTGACACTGCCAAATACTGGAGAGCAGTAAGTAACAAGAAACACCTACTCTTTTCCTTCTCCCTTCAACTTCCAAAAGAAAACACGAACTTGCAGTGCAGAAACTCATGAGAGCAGGAACTTAAGATGGGTTGAAAACTAGCAACTACCTGAGACGGAAGAGGAAACATTATTCTGTACAGCTGAAGGCAGCAGAGGACAAGACGACTGTGACTATCAAACAGAAAAGTATCATCAGGAACTTCACATAGTTTCCTGGATATTTTTTGTCATGTGTTACAGGACATGGCAGAGATTGGCTGATGACTCCTTAATTCAACTTATGAGACTAGTGAGCATCCAGACAAAGTCCCCAAAGAGAAGGAGGGTACTAAGCAAACAACAAAAAGAGGTAAACAAATAAATATCTTGATAGTATGTGTGCAGATGTATTTGTCCATATTGTGTTTGTGTGTATGGATGGGCATGTATATTTCTTATATGTGTTATTTTAAGTATACACGCTGTTACGTACGCTGGTTTTAAAAGCATTTAATGGATGTAGGGGCATGAATCCCACTGATTTTCAAAATATATACAATATACTTAATGCATTCATTTACAACCCACTCAAAGGCAACCAAAGTTTGACCAACAGACCCCAGCAACACATAACTGCAACCAAAGGAAGAAATGAAAATTTTTAGCTGCACACACTTGGAAAAAATAAATCAAATGTTATATCCACACACGAATACACATGCATTCACACATACTTCTATAAACCTATATATATA